AGCAAACAGAAAGAATGATGAAGGCATGATGTTTACCAGAATAGAATACATATAATAGATTACATTTTCATATGGATTTTAAAAACTTAAATGCATAGAAATGAGCAATATGACCAACACTTGCCAGCCATTCCCATCTTACAGTTTAAGCATTTCCAATATTCTTCTAAAAAGCAGCTGAAAGTCCAGGAATACCAGAAATGCTACTGACAATTTTCACTTATCATTGCTTTAATTTTCTGTTTATTGTAATTAACTGATAACATTCATTCACTTTCAAAATATTGGTAAAGAAATGAGAGCATTTCCCGAGGCAATGGAAATGAGATTTCTAAGGCAAACTGCTGGCTACTTAAGATAACTAGTTTGGTGGCATTGACATACACACTGAATAACAAGAGACCAAAAGTGTATGGAATTAAATGAAGACATTTATTCACAGAAGTAGTCTGCGATCTTCTCCATTGCCTCACATGCAAACAAAATTGAAACCCTATTTTAATTTAAGACTTTAAGGAGTAACAAAGCTAATCTTCCTAGCAAAAATAGTTGTGAAGATAAAAGATACCAAGTTCAGCCCCTTGCGAAGGTAAATGGTAAACTGAATGATAGCTTCAAAGGCTATAGCAATTGTGAAATAAATGTATTCTGGTTGCAAAGAATAACTTCGGACTTACTGATAGAAAACAGCACACTTAAGAGCACTAATAATCCTGATTGCAATTTACTAGCCTGTGATTTAGCAGACCCAAAGTTTCTTTCCTGCCTCTGCCACAGACAGCTTTAGGCAAATGGCACCTGGCCAAACCAGGTAGTCCTCATGTTTCCTACCTTTAAAAAATAGTGCTGATAGCACTTCCCTTCTGCCAAACAGCAACAGTGGGCAAAAGCCATACTTGGGCTCACCCCAAAGAACACTGTTACACTGGTGGAAGTCTGTAGCATAACTCTAGCTTGTTTTTATTTTAAAAACAATCTGATGTCCCAGTAAAATGGGAACTACTAAGAAATGGAATTCCTCCATTCATAACAGTCCAGCAGAGACAGAGAAAACTGGGATAGAAAAGATAAAAAGATAAAGTTAACCTTCAATGGAGAAAGCAGTAGAACTCTTTCTCTGTCCTGTAGCCTACCTATGTACAAAGAAGTACTGAGCTGCTGATTCAACAGAAAAAAACTCCCCAATCCCCAAACCTCCCACATCTGACAATAATATGACAGACATCATACAGCTGTTTCCTAAGCAAGACTAACAGAAAAAGTAATTATCTCCTCTTAACAGAACACTACACAAAACCAGGTAGTAATTCTACAACCCAAGACCAGAAAAGCGTTTTGCCTCAGTGAAGACTGCAGAAGTGGGCCTGTACATCCTTAGGCCAACAGCATATAAATACTAAGTTCCAATACCTTCCATACATTTGCTTTTAAGCACTCAGGAGAAAAAAAAATGGTGTGGGAACTAGAAAGGCAATGCATTATACATGTGCAAAATAAGCTATGGTCTGCTGGTAACCCCTTCTGCATTGCTACATCCTGTAGATATTTTTGTTAGCAGCTGCGGCACAAGAAAGCTATCAGTTCTGTTCTGAAGCCAGACCAAAATGCTGTACTTACAACCTCACAGCATCCTACTATCATAGTATTTCTTTTTGTTTCATAAAGTCAGCATTTCAATTTCAGTGAAGAGTCATGCCGAGCAGGAAAACAGCATGTGAAAGAGACAGTATCTTTTTCAGAAGACTTTAGAAGAAAATGCTAGTGAGAAAATTTATGAAATAAATTTGAAGGGTACAGAGATTTTGATTTCACAATCGTAATTTTCAGAATGCTTTTGAGAGTGAAAAAAAATACTGTATTTAACAGAAGCTTTAAACTGCTCTCCAGGCTCTTCAAAAGGGGAGAAGGGATCAAAAAGCACTAGAGGGAGCTGCTGTTCTACCTAACCCATTTGGATTCCTAGTTTTCAGCATAAATTGTTACCTGCTGGAGTGAGACAAGTGCAAGCACACATTTTGTATTGAAATAACAGAACTGCACTCAAAACTAACATCCGACAGCAAGGATGCAAACCATGAATTCTGAATCAGAAGAGAATAACAGAACACTTTGAAAGTCTGTAACATTTAATAAACTTCAAAAAAAAATACTCAAAGGAGGAACATCATCTGCACAGATGAAAATTTTTTTTAACCCATCAGTAAAAATCCTCATTGACCTCTTGCCTTTTGTGGGCACAGGATGTGCTCCAAAGAGAAAACATGACATAAAAGAAAGGATAAGAGAAAAATGACACAAAAGAGAGGATACTTGATTTAAGTTGCATAGCGTTCCACTTTAACTGAGTGATTTCATCACCAGTTGCCAATCTATCCGTATTTGTAACACTGACATAGGTTGTTAACCAAAGACATGAGGTTGTTAGCAGATGATGTTAAGGGACTAGAAAGTCACAGCAAACATCAATTTTACTAGAGGTTAAAAAAAAAAAACCCAAAAAACAAAAAACCCAGAAATTAGCTTAGGAAAAAAAAGGTGTGAGGTATTGAAAGAGGGTTAGAAAATAGGTAAAAAATGATTACTTTAATCAAAACTCACTCCACTTAGTAGTGTCCAGTTGTCCTTTTTGACTGTTCAGAATGTGGTCTCCCTCTCTGCACACACCTTTTTTAGGAATGTGCTTTATACCAAATCCTCTGGGCATTGTACCCTGTTTACCAACTTCCTCCTCATGGAGGCAGAACTTCTCTTCTCCTAGGTTTGTTTTTGTCCTTACTGAACAGCTGGCTGTTCTAATTTCTAAATTAAGTACTTAATGCCATGGCATAATTTGATTAATAAATTAGGTAAATTTATTAATTTCAAACACGCAGTGTGTACTGCAGCTACCCTATAAACTGACTAAATCTCCTTTTCTCAAATATAAATTCAATATTCTTCTAAAACCCCAACCAATCACCAAACTTACTTTTGCTGAAAAGTCTAATTTTTACATGTCCAGTTGATTTTTAAAGCATTTTGTACCCTGCATATGCCAACCTTATAAAAATCACCTCCCTGCAGGTATGATATTCTGTTGCATTTTGGAAAGGCCAAAGTAAACGCCAACAATAATATATCCATGTGCATGAGGAAGCTGCCACTACTTACTATTAGAAGAGGTAACTAGAAGCACGATATAGCCTTGAAAAAGAGACGAGGAATGATAGATCATGTCAATGTCTTTTTGGTATGTACAGGCTGTAGCAATTTAAACATGGGGATGGATACTCAGAATGCACATTAGCAGGCTTGTGGAGCATGCTTTTGCTATGTGTTACATGCTCAGTCTTGGAAGATGAATACAAGATCCTGGTGTAGCTGTATCCAAAGGACTGCACTAAGATAGTCAGAAACAAATACTTTTAACCAATATTTAGGCCATGGCTGCTTCAGGAATGCTTTTCTGATACGTAGTGCTAGGCTACAGTACCTATATAGAGCTCCTTGTACGGATGCTGCTATGCTGACGAAGTTGAGCTTTCCATTTGCTGTAAACCAAATCCGAAATAGGACTCAGTAACAGAAGTGCAATTTAGCTTCTACTCAAGATTTCTGGTATATCTGTCAAGGATCATACATCTTCACAAGCCTGACCTGCCAGCAAATCTGTGATGGCAGGTATCTGGAATGGAAAAACAGCTTTTCACTGGCTCACAAACAGCTAAGTAGATTAGGTGTAACACTGACCTCTGCCACAGTTTGACTTTTTTTTTTTCCTTTTTTTGCCATTTGTTTTATGAAAGATTCTGCATCACTCCTTTCCTCTGCTCAGACTCCTGCAGCCTGCAGAACTATTTCTACATTAGGAAGCCCAAACCGTACAAAAGATTCAAATGAACAAGGCTTCAATATGACTATATGTAAGGGAGAAGAGGAAGGAATTTTAAACTCTTAAGTTTTATACAGGAGAAGTGAACTCCATCATCAACTTGTCTTTCTGAAAACACTTTGCAAAGAAAAAGGGGAAAAATGTTAAATATTAAAAAATAATCTATTTCATTTTAGTCATTGTATTTCATGCAGCAATGCTTTATTATCCTCTCCACAAATAAGACAAGTTTTCCTTTGCAGTGAGGTTGAAGCACATGAATCAAATGTATGATGCATAAACTGCTATCCTTTACCTATGTCAGGTAAGCAGAAAAATGAATTATTAAATCCTTGGTTAATATTAAGAATGTAAAGCAGCAACAGTTTACTTAATCCACAAACAGCTGTTTTGTATTTGTGCACAACAGCATTTTTACAATACGATATATAGGGAATTTTACAAATATGACCAAGTCTTCCTCTACCAAAGGAAGGCTGTGCTCATTCTAGACTAACATACATCCATGCCCGACTTCCAATGTGAAATCATGTACCTCTTACAGGGAAAAAAAAAAAAATTAAATCCCAAACCTCTTAGATCTGTGCTAAATCCTTTAGTTCTTCATATTACAAATCCTTTCAGAGACTCACGTACTTCTTAATCTTTTTAATTCTTCAGTAAACTCATTTGAACTACAGCTGAGTGCTCATTCCAATGCTGGGTATAATCCTCCCCACCATTCAGACAGTTGGCACATGCTTCACACAGTCCTTCATCTTTCAAATTACCCCTCTGAGACAGAAATTATCCCATCTTTTACAGAGCATCACGCATTTTGCAAAGTGAATGAATGCACAGTATTCACATTTAGCATACATGGCCAGTCTTTTTTTGAATGCCAGACAATTTCTCCTTCCTCCACTGAAGTCCACATCTTGCTCTTTCGCTCCTGTGTAGTTCCTTGTATTTGTGGACCCAATCCTTTTATCTTTGTTGCATGAAAAGGCTAGCAATAGTAGCTGTTTAATACAGCAAAGTACAAATGGATTGTTTTTAACCACAATTATGATCAGGTAACCTGCTATAAAAATACTAACAAATTCCAGGATAGACTGAAAATTTCCCATTCCCCTCCCTAGTTACTCACAGGAGGTCCTGGTGGTCCCGGTTTTCCTGGGGGGCCTGGTTTGCCACGTCTTCCCTGGAAACAAGAAAGAACAACAGACATTTATAAATGCTACGGCTAACAACTGATTTGGAATAAGAATTCTCACTAAGAAAAGATATATTGCCTTGCTTATTTGCAAAAAATTCAAAACCTATCCGAAATGAATGCTCTGTATCAGTCACTGCAAGTACTTTTACAATTATTTATAATAATTATGACACACTATATTTGCATCACTGGAACATTTACTGTCACGTTTTAAAACTATGTCTCAAATGTGAGTGCACACTGACAGGGCTACAAACAGAGCACCTTGATGAGGTGTAAAGAAATTACATTTTATCTGAATACACCACAGCTTGGGGTGTTAAACTGTTGCAGTAGTCACCCTGACTTGCACAGTAAATACATATGCACAATATAACCCACTTAACAAACACCTTCTTCTCCAGGATATGATAACAAGCAGAAGAATCAGAGATTTATTTGCAAAAACAATTCACCTTCTTTGTGCAATTACTACCATCTGTGTACATAATGCACGTGCAAAATCACGTGCATTAAAAATTAAGGTCCATAAAAGTCTACTTAAGTTAATGGGAAACTTTCCACTCATTCTAAAAGCGTAACTATTAAAAATTTTTAGTACAGAGCTTGACTGAACAACTGGTGTTTTCACATGCGCTTTTTTTTAGCAAGATCAACATAAAAATGGAAGTAATTTACAGTAATTTACATCTTTATTGCCAAGCTGAAATCTGATGCACATTTTTTAGACACAACAGCTGAGAACAACTAGTATCTAGGTGAGATGGCAAAAAAAAAAGTATATCCATTAAGACTAAATTTTTCCCTTGCATATGGCAAATGTAAATTAACAAAAAGCATTATGGGGATGTCCTGGTGAAAACTTGGCTTAAGAAGTTAAAAAATTAAAGTGCTTGCTGACAGCTCACAATTAGCACATAGGGGTATTTCTGTAATCTATGGTCCCTCCTGCTAAGCCTCCTTCTGTGTTTTATTAAATGGCAATCTCAGACAAACTACAGAAGTAATCTAAGGAACAGAAAGTGAAATCTCAGCTTCCCTCTTTACAGGCGAGAGCCTAGATCTGTAGGGAATCACTCTAACACTCTGCTTTCATTAATCTTGATCTCTGCTGAGGGGAAACGTGATGACAATACGGGTAGAAAATCCCTCTTCTTCCCACCCTGCAGCTCACCAAGGCAGTGAGCTTGCATATACATCTAGGTGTCTTGCATAGACACTAGAGACTCTCCTGAGAAGCACGATATGGAGCCCTTCAAGTTGAAGAACTGAAAAGGGGTTGTTGGGATGTGTTTCATTCACTAGACTGTGCCACATAACATCTACACTGCCACCATTGTTGTATGAAGGTCCTCAGTCAGTCAGTGTGTTTTAAAGGCAGCGTGAAAAAAACCCGCTACCTCAGCATATTTGGAGTGACAAATTCCTGGGTCTTAACTAGCTGAGACATATGTTATGTGCTGAGCTGTTTAATCCCACCAGTACTTGCACATGCAGGGCTGTAACTAGGGCAGCTTAGGGTAAATTTTCAGAACCAACATATGGTCCTAGGTGCCTACACTGGGCTCAAGGCTACCCTGCTCCTTACCACTCAGCCCCAGCATATCATCTGCTGTGCTGGTAACAGTGTCCGCACAGCCCTGCGATGAGCCCGAGCCAGGAACCCATCCGGGGTAAGAATAGCACACAAAAAAGTAGAGTGGCTTCTGACTTTGATCAGTTCATTGATGCAGTTCACTGGGCAACCAAGTAGACTGACAGAGGGTATGGTAGTGGAAAATGCACATGCGCATAAGGAAAGGGGGATGTTGTTAGCTAGATCCAGACTTTCAGACTGATCTCTACTTCAGAAATGCAGATGGAAATTAGTATTTCCTTACCTTTTCAAAAAACAGTACACTTAGTATGAAAAAACAGATCGAGAAGTAATGATGTAAGCAGTAAATAAACATAAATTGTTTCATACTTTTAAAATAGCCCCTCTGAGTTATAATGATCTACACTGTTGACTTCTTGAAGCACCTTCCTTTTCCTGTTTGGACTTATTTAAAGTATCCTGAGGATGACACTTAAAATCTCAGCAGTCTAAACAAAGTATCAAGGAAGTGTCAGGGGGAAGAAGGCAGGGCTTTGACTGGCAGACACAACTGTGAACGAGGTGTTAATTACACAGGAAAACATGGAATATGCTGGGAAGGCAATTTTATCTCTATTTACAAGATGAGCTAAAATGTGATTTATAACATGTTACAAAGCCAAAACTTGACAAATTTTCTGAGAAATAAGCTAAAAAAAAATAAAATCAGGGGTAGTTATTTTTCACTGTCATTTATGAATTACCAGAACTTCTACTAGGTGAAACACATAAGAAACACTTGCCTACCTTTTATTTAATGATTATATTATTGGTCATTATACTATGTGTCATGTGTAAAGAAAACCTGTAGAACAATCACACAGATTGGCATGAAGCATCAGCTTTTTCTAGAGTAACAACAGTCCTTTTTTTTTTCCTACAAGTACCCTTCTAAACTAATATTTTAATTTTAACACAGAAATACGTAAAAGGCCACTACCTTTCAGCAATGACTTTCAGGTACAGAGATTTAAGTGTTTGGGATACACACAGTTCCACCTACTTGCCGGCACTCACAACTTCCCAGCATCAGTATGGAAAAAATTAAAATATATACTATAGTAAGGGTGTAAGTAAAGTCGTTTATGTTTCTGTTTAGGATAATTAAAACAATTAGAAGAATGTTTTTGATAAGCCCATTTTGGCCTTGCCTTGAGCAGACCATGAACCAGACTGTGACTAAATATTTACAGTTTGATTTTGAGTCTTCCTTCTGGTAAGAAAGAAGTGAAAACATCTCAGTGTCCTCTCTGGCTCATAGAGTGGGCTCAGCAGAGAGCCACAGTTCCCATCTCCTGCTCAGAAGCAGGTCTTGGCAGCCCCATGAGAGCTGTACTCCCTGTAGTACAGCTGTCTCTGGGGAGGCAGCTGGCTCAGGAGGCCCATTACCTTTATTTAGTCGAGTTCACCGAGCAAATATTGAGGCTATTAAACCACTTCTAGGCATTACATACTTCCTTTAACTAAATAAAAAATGCAATATCATTTTCACTAACTTAAAAAAAGACAGGTGGTGTCAGCATATTGTCTAATGCTACTTAGAATAACCACCAAAGAAAACCAAACCAGTTGCCGATTATTTCCTTTGTGGTGCATACATTTTTTATTTTTTCTTGGTAATGTGATAAGAAGTTGTCTAAATGTTACTGATATTGACCCCTTGACTCATGAAATACCTGCCCTTAACAAATTTGGACAATTGGCTACTTTCCTCTTTTCCACAGGACAAACTTCACACAGTACACACACAAATGGCTCCACAATGGCTTTGTTATGGGTAAAAAGGACAAAATATTAAAAATTAAATAAATGAGATTATATGCTTCAGCAAACCCGAGCCAAGTGCCTAGCTGAAGTGTGTGGTCAACTGTACTTTTTGTTACTCTCTTCCTTTACCCTTTCTGTTAATCAAAATGACTTGAGAAGCTTTGCTTTACGTCAGATTGAAAGCTGTTTAGAAGAGAGGCTCTGTGCATCCTTCCATAAGCTTGTGCTCTGAATCTGGCTGCTGCCCCTGGGCACTGCTGCAGGTCCAACACGCAATGCAATCATTCAGTCTACATTGTAACCCTCTGCTGTATCATGTTGCATCCCTCTATTTGCATATCTCTAACTATAGAAGGGTAAAATCGCTAATCCCAATGTCTAAAAAAAAAGACCTGGATTATTTTAGGATAAAAATCAAGCAGAGTTATGTAGGGATGCTGACCTGATTTATGGAATTAGTAATTTAAAGAACCCACACTTGAATATGAAGGGAAAAGTTCTTATAATAAGCCTGTATGAATTTTCAAGGGAAACTGCTAATTAGAAGTACCTCAAACACATCATCACATTTCAAAACAGGAACTAGTTCTAGAGGAAGTAGGAAGCTGGGCTTTAAAGTCTTAACTACTGTAGCTATTATGCAAGATTAATGAGGCTTATGTAACTCCTTTGACAAGCTAAACTAAGATTCTTTTGAATAATCCTCAAAAGCAAACTGACAAAGGGACAGATACACCCGAAGAAGAAGGCAGGTGAAAAGTAAAGATCCCCACCTGAGAGGGCCCAACCCATGGACACCCCACTAGCCCCTTGGGCACCTAAACACACCATGTGAGTAGAGCTCTGGGCAGTTAAAAGATGGTTTCTCTGGATGACCAAAGTTGCCAATAAGCAGCCAGACAAGTCCCAGTGCCTGTGCTAATTCAGAGCACAGAAAAGAGGTTTTCCTTTGTCTCAGTCCTCCAAGCTGATATGCCTAGTTAATATAAACTTCCCAGTTTTCCTTCTCTGTCTGTAGTTGCAACCCAGTGCTCCTTGCAGTTCACGTGGAGCTTGCAGAGCTCCAACCAACTCAAATTCACAGGAAACCCAGCCTAAAGCTGGTGACAGTCCTCTGCTCCATGTTTTACCAGAAAAACCTTGCCAGACTGCCACTTTAGGGGAATGAGGGCAGATGCCACATGGTGCTATCAGTCAGAAAGTCAGCTCAAGAGCTATCCGAAAGCTGAAGATTGTAATTAATCACAAAAATCAGAGCAATCATCCATCCAACTCAGTTACACAACAGTGCACATCTACTGACTTGTTGTGGGACAGAGGAATGCTCTCCAGCATCCCAATCAATTATTTTATAGATCACAAAGTGAAAATTACAAATCTACAACAAATGCATAGCCTGAATACGAAGTCATTAATTTCTATCATGTATTTAGCCAAATACTTGGCAATTTTTAGAGAGCTTTGACATTTAAGCACCTGACTGTACAACAGCTGTTAACAAGAATTTTGTCATTAACTTCCGTAGTGTCACAATTACATAGGTTTGGATTTTTTTAGTCCTTAGAAACCCTATAGTTTGAAC